AACAGTACCTGCATTTATGCATCCCAAACAAGCCAATATATTGCATAACATCAACCAGAAGGAAATCAGAAATATATTTCTTACAAGGTTTGTTTTATTCTTGGTTTTGATTTCTTACTTTTACCAGCAGAACAAAAGAATCCTTGTAGATATCACTGTAATAGCAGGTTAAAGAGCAGGAAAAGAGCTTTGGTTCTGTATTTCATGGAAATTTGGAATTTTAACACTAATTTTATGGAGCATGGTTTTCTATGAGAGCATGAAATAGTAGGGGTGAAAAGGAACTTTCATCTTTGGTACTATGTGGAACTGAGGAGAATCTCTAACTAGGCATAAGCATATTATCACTATACACTGAATTATCTTCAAGGGTCAGATATTATTGTATAGAATAGAATTACTGTATCAGTGAAATTGGAAAAGACCCCTAGGATCATCCAGTCCAACCGTCAACTCATCCTTATTATGCCCACTAACCCATGTCCCTCAGAGTCACATCTCCACGTTTCTTGAACACTTCCAGGGATCGTGACTCTACTGCCTCCTGGACAGCCTGTTCCAATGCTTAAACAGACATTCAGAGAAGAAATTTTCCCAGTAACCAAGCTAAATCTCTTGCAACTTAAGGCCATTACCTCTCATACTGTCTCTAGTCACCTGGGAGAAGAGAACCCCCCACCTCTTCACAATCTTCTTTCAGGCATTTGTAGAGACCGATAAGGACCCCTCAAAGCCCCCTCTTCAGACTAAAAAATATCAGTTCCCTCAGCCGCTCCTCATAAGACTTTTGCTCCAGACCCCTCACAGTTTTGCTTCCCTTCTTTGGACATGATTGTATACCTCAGTGTCTTTCTTGTAACAAGGGGTCCATAACTGAACACAGTATTTGAGATATGGCCTCACCAGAGGTGAATGCAGAGGAATGATCACTTCCCTGCTCCTGCTGGCAGCACTACTTTTGATACAAGCCAGGATGCCATTGGCCTTCTTGGCAACCTGGCACACTGCTGGCTCATGTTCAGCTGACTGTCAGCTAGTATCCCTAGATCCTTTTCCTGTGTGCAGCTTTCCAGCCATTCTACCAGAAATCTGTACTGTTGCACGGAATTGTTGTGATGCAAGTACGGGACCTGGTACTCGGTCTTGTTGAATTTCGTATAGTTGGCCCCAGCCCATCAATCCAGCCTATCCAGTAGTTCAGTTGGAAGGGATGTACTAAAATCATCAAGTGTAACTGCATGGGTTTTTTTTGTTTGGTTGTTTTTTTTGTTGTTGTTTGTTTTGTTTTGTTTTTGTTTTTGTTTTTGTTTTTTCCTCCAATGTGATCCCTTTATCATATTCTAAGATTTTTTTTTATTTTTTTTTTTTTTCTGTGATCATGAGGCAACTTCACTTATGTAATCCTGACTTGAGAGTCACCATTTAAACAGTTGGATAGATAGGCTGTGTAGAAGTAGATCTGTTGTTAAGGTTTTATGATGTTTGGTTATCGGTATTCCACATCATAACATCAGAGTTAGTTTTCCAGTTCTGGGCACCTGTCCAGAAGAGAAGAACTACATACCCCAGAAGACTTTGTGTTCAGAGAGGGGAGATAAGCTTTTATAGATCACCTGAGCTCCCCTTTTTCAGCTCTCCTCCCTGCTGCTTGTCCTGACAGCGTGCAACACCTCAGCATTAGTGTAAGGCCTTCAGCTTTCAGACATTCTCTCATTATATTTTATTTATTAGCTTCCCATTATATTGTAGAATATTGTATTATAGTGTGTTATCTTGCATTCCAATACCATATTTAGTAAATTAGTTTGTTTCTCTTCAGATCGTTGCCACTGTTTTTAATTATTCAGGGTCCCCTGTTTTTCTTTTCTGGAGGCATTGATCCATGCATCCCTCCGCTCCGCTAGTCACAGAACTGGGCCAAACCAGCCCGTAAACCACTGACATCTGTAAAGACTCAAAATATGACTGTAAGTTAGTTATGGTGTAAATCTAAATTTCATCTGCAGATTTTTTGAAAAATGTCATTTTCCCAGACTTTTATTCTATTTGATGAATCTGTGTTTTTCTTCAAATCTCTCGACAGAGTGTTTGTAGAGATCAGAAAAGTTGGATTCCGTGTGATGAAATTTACTAAGTCATTAATACTGAGTAATGTGTAGTGGTTCCCATTGGAATTATTTCATACGAAAGCTAGGAAGCAAAGTGCTATTGAAATGGACAACATTGTAAAGACAGTGACACAGTCTAACATCTGTAAATAATATCAGTGGAATTGTGGATGGAGAAAGTTTATGAAGATAGAAGAACACTGAGTCACATAAGAAACATTAGTGAGCTGGTCTGTACATTTTTTTTTCCTTTCATATCTCTGTGAAATACTGAAACTTTGCACTGGAAGGGAATTTATGACAGCAAAAGCTACTCTTCACTTTTTCAAACTGTACAAACAATAATATAAACAACATACAAAAACAAAAAAAAAAACAACAATGGTATTACATTCTATCTTAAGCTTGCTGAAAAACTGCGCAGTATTACCTGATGGCAGAGTGGTGCAGAAGTGTATAAGAGCATGAAGATTATGATCCTTTGTGTCAGTGAGTTAATAAATAAATAACTAAACGACTTCCTTGAGAACCAGCAACAAAACAATTTGATCTTGCCATCTAAAAGTGGTTAAATTATGAAAAATCGTCCACTAAAGATTCAACTGATCCATGAATCTAATCTGTGAACTGTACAGTGCTCAATGTGGTGTAGCACTATCTATCTCATTTTCTACATTAAAAGCAGTGAGATGTGACCAATGTCAGTTTTAGTTTATGCATCGTATAGGTAATGTCTGCGGGCAGGATAATGAACTGTGAGACAAGTATACTGTAACAAAGTATCTAATTTATGTTGGGGAGGTTACTTTAATTAACTGGTAAAAACATCATGCATCTGAAGCATAAATTTTTAATAGGTGATTTAAAATATTTTATTTAGTCCAGTAGAAGTAGATAGGAATGCTGTGCTACCTTTTGTCAAATTAAACAAGTAAACATATAAAAGAATGGGGAAAAAATAACTGTGACAATAAGGAATCATTTTGTATAAGTAGGTACGATTCAATGTTCTATAAACATAATTATGTTTATATGTATTCACAGAATACCATGTTAAAAATCTGTACATTAAGTGATTTAGTGACAGTGTATAGGGTAAACACAATAAATAGCAATGGAGTGGGGAACTAAATTGATATCTTGTTTTGAAGTTGGTAAGAAGGCGGCCAGGCTGGATGTGGTTCTGGCCAGCCAGGTCTAGTGATTGGTGACCCTGCTCATAGCAGGGGGGTTGGAACTAGATGATCATTATAGTCCTTTTTAACCCAGGCCATTCTATAATTCTATGAAGATTGAATAGACTTGTATTTAGTGGAAAGCATTCCTTTTTAAAAAATAATATATATATATATACATATACATATATATATATATATTATCTAGATAAATATGTCTGTATTATTTTTTCCTGGTCAAGTTTTTCCAGAAGAAAATCTTAGGGAGAAGAACTGCTGTAATGTCATAAGGAGGCAGGGTGGGAGAAGTATACCTTTTTCCTTGTCTTCTGAACTGAAACACTGAAACAAGTTTTTGTTTAACGGAACGTGTTCAAAACACTTGTGCTAACATTCCCTACTAGTACCACTCAGGACTGGGTCTTGAGTGGTTTTAAATGCTGCCTGCCAGTAAATCACACAGCTTTTTAAACAGATCAGTTTATTTACAGAACAGTTGTTTCTGTACACAACCACATATAAAATAGAAAGTATTCAAAGAAAATTGAATCTTCTACCTCTTGCAACTTATTTGAAGGCTTCTGTAAGTCCTTCATGATCAGCAGAGGTTCAGGTTGGATACCAGGAAAAAGTTCTTTACTAAGAGTAAGGTCCTGAGGAAGGCTCCCCAAGGCAGCAGACGTGGCCCCAAGCCTGTCGGAGTTGAAGAAACATTTTGCTTTCAGAATAGAGTTTGAATTTTGAGTGGTCCTCTGTGGACCCAGACATAGGACTCAATGATCTTTGTGGGTCCTTTTCAATGTGGAATTGTCTATGATTCTGTGATTCTGTTATTAACAATGAAGTAACAAATGAATAAACAATTAATGCTGGTCTTTAATAATGATGACTACGAGTCATGCCAAATGATCAAAGGAGTTTCATTCTTTATCTGCATCACACTATGAGCTCTGTCTTATGTACTCAGACACAAATGTGAAACATATTGAGCTGAGAATAGAAAAATGTTTTGATGGAAAGTTGGAAAAGTGCATTTTGAGGGAAAGAGGATGAGGCTATGTCAACAACATTTACTTCATATTGACATTTAGCTCATCTATGACATACTTCATGTTCGCATCTCAAAAAGGTCACAAATGAGAATGAATGATATCATTTATGAAGGAAAGAGATCATTTATAAAGGTGAACTGCATTAACTTGTAGCACGTAAATGTACTTTTTTAAAGCAAGTAATAATTTTCTTTATCTTGCTCACTTGAAAAATGATTACTGAAACCATATGAACACCTGTTTGTATTCATAAAAGAAAAGAGAACTTTGGGGTGAAGTTTTTGTTTAGATTCATATGGTCCAAAAGTATTGCTTACCATCAAAAAAAATAAGGCTGTGTTCAGAGAATACATTCAGTTGCCTATTTTAAACAAGCTACTGGACTACTGACTAAGGGATTGACAGAGATCTTTTATGACCGCTGGATTTCATCCCACACAGTGTGTACTTTTCTAGCTGTTAGCACATCTTACATAATTTCATAATTATCAAATGAATTAAGTTGAATATGGAAATGGTAAATGTTACATGCAACATGTTACTTTGTGATATTTCAAAGAGAAGACATAAAGAATTGCAAGTTTACTTCTGTATTTTAGTACTGATTGCTGCTAGTGAAGTTTATGCCCTACTTTAACAAATTTCCTTCTTTTCTTCTTTTACAGAATAATGATATAATCTATTACAATGCAAAAGATGATCAGAATGATGTAAGTAATTTTTTTTTCTTTACTGCCTATAATCTCAGGGAATTAAGGGAATGAAAAGATTAATTGAATACTAAATAAATATTTAAATATTTTGCAGAAAACCAGAAACTTAAAAATTTCTTTACAGGTATACTTAGGAGCCAGATAGTATTTTTTTCTTGTTATTCTCAAGACCTAATTTGTTCATGCACTGTTTTAGGTTGCTGATCGGAAAATGTGTAGGAAGAGAAAGATCCTGACAGCAGTATCATTCACTTTTTGATATGTAATATAACTGTGATTATAGCATTTGAGAATCAAAATGAGAAATGTAAATAATTTACTCAGAAGGAGTACTATTTTGTTCTGTATTCTCTCTAAGAATTCTTTCACATGAGACAGAAGCAGATAGAAAATATTTCTGAACAACTGTTTTCATGCATTTTGTGATCACTCATATATGTGTGTAATAAGGTTGTGAGAAATTGAAAATCTGGTCTCAAATTTTAGAGAAAATGTATGGGATTTCAATACCCAGTTCTACTGAAACTCTTACAGTGAGTGATTTGTAATTTCTTATCTGGCTTTAAATATTAAAAATCTTAATGTCTTAGGAGAAGGCAAGTTATCTTCACCTTTACTTGAGAAAATACAACCTCTTGTCTTCATTATAGATTTAATTTATAAAGCCATGGAAAAGATTTTGTAAATGTATTAATGACATCAGAAGTGCCAGCATGCATCATTTGCACTTTTTAATCAAGTATTCTTTAGAGATTGATGGCATCACTGTTGCAGTTGATGCTTCTGTTGTAAGGCAATTAAAGAAGGTGCATATATCATGCCAAGCAAAACTATCTGATATGCTTATATAGAATTATGAGTACTGGATTTCAGATACCACAAACAAATCAATTGTCTCAAGTTCTGAAATGTGTATGCCTTAAAACTAACCTTAGTTTGAAAGATAGGTTTCTTCTGATTGGATTCACTAGTATGTCAGGTACAGATTACTTACAAAACTATATTTCATTTAGCTTTTGAAGGTAAACATACTGTGTAGTACAGCAATGGTAAATTAGGGTCTGAAATAAAAAGGCTTGCTGCATCTGTTATGATGCAAATGGTATTAGGAAATGTCTTGATGTGAATTCAGATTGGTTAGGCAAAACAGAAAAGGAAATTTTGCTCCAGAGTTTACTTATTTATTTGACTTTATTTCAGATAATTTTTTTCTTCTGGAGCAAAACAATTTTATTCCACCAGAACTCCTATTTTTATTTCTGTGTGAGGGTTTTTTGTTGGTGGTGGTGGTGTTTTTTTGTTTTTTTTTGTTTTTTTCCCTTTTAAACTCTTGGAATGAAGGTTGTAATAATAATTGCTGTTGAGTTAAAAATAGCTCCTTGTTAGTCAGGGCCAACCTGTTAATAAACAAGTAACACTTGTTTATTTTTTACGCCTTTTTGGCAATCTGATCAGATCTTTTTCTGGCTGAATTGAAGACAATTTCCCCATGAGTTCTAATTGAATATCTTAGCCACTGCTCCTACTTGTTGGTGTCTCGCTCCAAATTATAGGAGGAAGAGGAGGGTTTCTGATATATGTATACCCGGTGTGAGATTAAGAAACAATGGTTTAAATGTGGGTCAGACGAGTTTATTATAAATCCTAATCAGGGAGACGGGGAAAGGAAAGACTGTTATGAATTAGGGTGATGGGGAAGGGAAGGAGGGCAATAGAAAAGATAGGAAATAAGAATTGCGTAAAGCGGGGATAGTCAGGATCCAGCAGCGATCCCGTTGCACGCTGTTCTGACGGTCTGAGGCAAAAGCACAAGGGGAAAGCAGCAGCAGCATGGCTGGCCTTGGGCAGCAAGGAGGTAGCAGGAAGAAGCTGCACGGTATGTCCAGGAAGAAGCAGCAGGACTCAGGTAGCAGGCCCAGGAGAGTCTGTCAGCATGCAGGCATTCTGATGGCAGATACTTTTGTTCTTTTTCAGCATGCAGATAGACTGCGGAGCAAGTCTAACAGGGAGAGAAGCAGGTTGTGAGGTTTCTCATGTCAGAAGCCCCTCTTCCTCATGAAGAATCTCTTACCAGAAAACCCAGTCTCATGATTGTAGGTCCCCTTTTTATCCTTCTTCTTCTGCCAGCGTGGCATTCCTGGGCACTTGGGTAAGAGTCATATGCAGCAACCCCCTGAGATGGCCATCTCCTTCGAGATAAGCCCACACAAAAGACTACTTCCTGGCCATTAAGCTGCGACTTATCTCTCTCTCATTGCTGGTGGCCTTGTCCATCTGTGTCCCTCAGACAAAGGATTTCTCAGCCTTTGGCCAGGACTTGCTTGGACTTGTTCATCTGTGTCCCTAGCTAGCTTTGAGTCAATGGCATAAAAGAATGATCTCTTACAGTTGGTTCAGCATTTCTGCTACGGCCTACATTTGTTCATCCTAGTAAAACATACTGTAAATTCCTTTCCTTGTTGTTTAATAAATCTGAACATTTCATAATGATGCTAAAATTTATTAAACTTAAGCTCTAATAAAAGCGGTAATTCTTGATAAGCTCTGATGACAATAAGAAAATCAAATGTCCCACTAATACAGCTGAAAATTGACAAATTGTTGGGCATTTATGAGCAAGGAAGATGTTCATGAAGATTAATTTCATCTTAGGAAGACAACTTTGTAGACAACAAAGAAACTGGTGTATATCACATAAACTAATGTCTTTGCTCTAGATTGTCCTTTAGAGTAGTGCACCTCAATTAGCCAAATAAGAGGGAAGAAAGGAGAAGATAGGTGTCATATATCTAATAGTACCTTCATACTAGGGTCTCTAACAGTTTAGTTTTGGGCTGAACTTTTGATGGGGTGAATAAGTAGCAGTGTGCTGGGGGCTCTGAAGGTGCTCACAAGCCTTACTAGTCATCCTACATGTACATTACCTTATGTGTAGATTGTCTTAAAACAAATCAGATATTTTAGTTATGGAAACCTTGGCAATGAGTGTATATGAAACAGATGAGATAACTTAGCACCTTTAGCACAGACAGAGATTTTAAATGAGTCTTTTCTGAAATACTGACTAGTAAAACTGCTTCTGCTATCCATTTTTTGTCTCATAAGAAATTTACACTTTCTGTTTCTTTCATGCCATAGACCTTTATTTATTCATACTACCTGACAGCTTTTTCTAAAAGTAAAAGTAGGAATAATTAGTATCAGTAATTTATTCATTAAAATTAGGTATCTAAGATTAACCTAGTCACTGTGTATAGCTATTTGGTTTATTCTGAGCTAAGTGTTTGACACAGGTCAGCTGAATGACTTTCAGGTATGTATTTCTCTCTTTAGATCTTTTAAATCATAACTTTTAGATGTTTAAAAATTAGAAGAAATTCATCACACAGATCCTGCTTTCCTGTCTTAGCTCCACTAATCATTTAAAATTGTAGCTTTACAAAAGGAACAATCCTCTATTTTAAGTTAGTGCATTATTTTCTAGTGTATATTAATATTCTTCACTGTATTTTATTTTCCTTCTTCCTGTTCTTGTACCACATTCAGAAAATCCTTCTCTTTCACTTTCTATCTATAGCCTAGATGAGTCTTTTAGAATCTAATGTCAGTGTTCACTTGGACTTTAAGGAAAAATAAGTGTATTCTTTGGCCTTAGTCTCCCAGATGAAACAATTAATTTGTAACCTCTTAGTCCATCAGCCAGTAATATAACTTTCACACTCTTTATACTACAGCAGTAATTAGATTCTACTTGCTCATTTCCCCCACAGTGCTGTAATATGTGAGCACTTCATGATAATTAATGGTTTTATCTTCAAAACAAGGTAGGAGGTATTACATTCTCATTTTTCGTATCACATAGGAAGATAATGGCAAAACTTGTAATTTAATGCAGGTCTCTCAGGGTTTCATTCACTGTTCTATTCCCTAGAACCCTTTCCACTTGATATACCATTGTCTGTGTAATGTACTTTCATTTGCAGGTGTCAACTACTTGTGTCAGATCCACTCTGTACACATGATGTAGGGTGTTTATTGGACAGCTGAATGGTACCACATTAGTATGCCCTTCCCCAAAGGTTTTAATATTGCTTTGCCTGTTTTTCTCATTTTCTCATCGTTTGTTCTCCACCCTTTTTACAGTTATCTTTGCTTCACTGTGCACTCCTTTTCTCATTTTTGTAATGTTCTTCATTTCATGTCTAGTGATTTTGTGTCTTCTTTATAAAATCTTGCCAAATGAAATGTTTCTGTTTTCATTGGTTCAGGTAATCCACCTATTCACTGTGTATTGAATTGCTCAGTTGCTTAATTTCATTCTTCCTTGATTCCTCCCCATTTCCTTCATTTCTCTGATCTTCTCTTTGCATCTTGTTCCTTTTCTACCTTCATGCATTTTCTTATATTTTTATGTATTCCTTCCTGTAAGAGATATAACAGCCTAAGGAAAAGCAGACTGTATTTTTGTCATGATTTAACCTAGATGTCTAAGCAATACAAATAAACAAATAGTTCTTTAACATTAAAGCAGCCATGCTTCACTGGAAGTCTACAGCACAAAGGTCTTACTCATTAGATTTTAATTGGGATCTGGCAGTTTTGTCTCCTGGCAAGAGTTGTGTCCCCACTTAATACCACTGATTTATTAGTGATTTTTTTTTAAATATACAATGTGATGTTAGTATTGCAGTCATGATTAACAGCAGTACTCCATGTGATGTTATTGTTCATGCATTAATAAGTGGTAGTAGCACTTTTTGGTTTTATGTTAAGTAATTTAAGTAATAAAAGCTCTAGAATTGCAATTCCTTTTGGGAGTAAGTATCTGCAGAAAATGTGAATCGACCCTGTGATTAGGGCCAACGTTGAAAATATGAAAATCTTTTTTTATTATTATTACTTTATGAAACATTCAGGGAGAAATCTTGTAAGAACACTATTCTGAATTTGTCACATGGTTTAGACTGCATTTATAAATTAATGATTCCTTGTTATTT